TCCCATGATTTAACGTATATATGATTGTGTCACTTAAAGACACGTATCATTGTTCAGCTGAAGTACGTTCTATTATAATTAAATACATACAACTATTATTAACTTAAACCTTCCCATAATTGTATTTTTATTAAATACAGTAGGTACCTAGTACCTACTTAAGAAAAATACTTGTACTAAATATGCTTAATGCGACCGTCAACGTATGACAAAATTAATTGAAACACATTCCACGGGCCATGGCACATTTTTTATCCGTCTGATATATTAGTTTTTTTTTTAAATTAATTAATTAATTAATTAAATTGAAGTATTTGTTTTTTTGTATTTTTTATATCGAGTTCTACATTTTCTGAAAATAAAATTGATTCATAATATTTTGTTATAATATGATTTTGCTCAATATTATGAAAATACCTACTTTTGGTGAGTAAAATTGTGGACAACAAGATTTAGAGAAATCTTAAATCATACTACTCAGCTATTTATATATTATATAATATTTATAGTCTGATATGTAGGTACAAAAGTCTCACTAAAATTTATATTTTCGATCATAAGTGCATTCTTTGTATTATTTATTTAAAAAAATATTACCCAAGTATTTGAATGCTATATTAAATATGATTATTTTATTGTACTATAATATTATACAATATAATTACTGTGATTAATTTTTAAATTTTATAATTAATATTAGGAATCAAACATAGATGTATTATGTACACAATAACTACCTAGATCGTCGTCTCCTTCTTATCATTGAAATCAACCGCCATTTACAAAGCAGGCGATGTTCACAAAACAATATTATCACAGTATATATTATTATGTATACCAATAAATATAAAATAAATGTAAGCATTGCTTGTTTTATAAATGACGGCCAAGTTCAACATCGGTCACAACTTTAATGTATAAAGACGGCCAGTGGCGTCCTCAGGGGGAAGCTAAAGGGCTGAAGCCCCCCCATTGTCCGTATTATTGTTACTTTTTCAAAAAAATTTAATCAAGTTAAACTGTCAACTATAGTAAGCAAGAAGTAAATTTCATATATGTCTTACCAGAATGAATTCATTTTTGAAAGAACATTGTATTTGCATACCAATTTTCATAAATTATCTGTAATTTTTAGGTAAAAGTATGAACTACTTGTATTAAATTTTCTAGCCTTAGCTATATATATTTTATATTTTATAAGTTTTGAACTACAAATTAACTGTCATTTTGACGAAATTTGAACTTTAAATGCTTATTTCATAAAGATCTAAAAATTGATACAGTTGACCAACTAGCCAAAAATTACTATACCAAATTTCATGCAAAACTACCACACCTTCCAAGTCCACTCATCTCACACCTATCGTCACACACACTACCCGACAATCCTCCACGCCGTCTAAAAAACGATGGTGTAGAGACCTCCTTAATTAATTATAATCAAGATCTGTAGGGTTCTATCAATGGATAGTTTCCCTCCTCATGTGAATAATGTCATGTAATATTAATCTTCGAAATGTATATATCACATTTGCTTATTGTATACGTTTGATACAGATTGTAAATATATATTTTCATAAAAAATAAAAAAAATGCTTATAAAAAATAACCATGGTACCTATGTAGTGTTTGAAGTATGAAATATTTCACAAAAACGTGACACATTGAAATTTTTTTACACAAATAAAAACACAATTTATTTATTTTTTTTGCACAATGTTCAGTGTTCTAAATTCTAATGACAGAATTCAGTATTTATACAATATACATCTATAATATTCTTTAGCTACTTGTATCATTTAAACATTAAAATATTTAAAAATTTTGAATACGATTTTAAATGTATAATACCAAAGGTTAGGTATACATACGGGGGCACCATATAGTTATGAAGGCAATTTATGACAATTATATGTAAATATAAAACTTATTTAAAAATAAAACAAAATATTTAATTTTTTTAAATTTCATGAAATTTTCAAACACTATGCCTATGTACCGTCAATATTTTATCTAATAAAATAACTTACGTATTACATTTTTAAGGCTTTTGACCAGATAAATAATTTTTTATTGACATTTATAGAAAAAAAAATTGAATTATTCAAATACAATCCAAGTGAAGACGGTATAACCAAACATTTAAATAAATTTTCATTTTTTTTTCTCCAATTGCTTTTAAAAGCACTGAGCATTTTCAATTTCGACCTCCTATAAGTACCAACTAGATCTAATTTGCTTCCAAAAACATACACTGGGCATCAAAGCTTATGTTCACAGCATTTTTTCTACCAGAAAAGTTGAAAAGTTACAAACATTTTAAAATACCTCGAATAAACGTCTGAAATTATTAGACTGGACAAAATTAAAATGTAACTAATTTTCAAGCCCCCTCTATTGAAAACGCCACTGAAGACGGCTATCTATTTGTTGTATGATATATCTATGGGTTCAACTAAACACTAATAGAGATACATTACAGAATAGAGCATATAATATTTTAAAAGGAAAGCAGATGTTTGGATGAAATTATTAGATTTTAATAAAATCAAAAACTTTTAATGGCTGTCAAGTGTCCATATAAATTGACAAATGTTATAAGATTCATGTTAGCGATGTCCTAAGCGATGACATATTATCATGGTGACGATTAAATAACATTTCAACTTCAGTATCTTGTTCGATTGGAAAGTGAATCTAGTTGGTGCATTCGGGAGGTAAAATTTTAAAATTCCCAATAGTTTTCACAAGCACCTGGATTAAACACATAAAAATTAAGGAATAACGGGATTTTTTACCCAAAATTTGTTTTCCAAAAAATCAATTTTGGTTTTTGGTGTAACTCTAAAACAAATGAACATGAAATATACATGAAATTTTCACTGGTTGTTTATATTTGCATTTTCTATACACGATACAATTTTTAAAATATTATGATTTGTTTTGAACTGTTTAGGGACATTTTCATTTTCCATTTTTTTTAGTTTTTATTCTAAAAATATCAATAAAACTTTATTTGTTGGTTTCGAAAGCTTGAAAATTTAATAGAAGGCTCCTAGTATATTGTTTCAAAGGCAGAAGAAAAATATTACAAATCCTTTGTCACAATTAATATCAATAAAAAAATCTCTACTGGAAAGTCAAATTAAATTTTTATGAGAGTTTGAAATTCAAATTTTTACGACATTGGATATTCACTCGATTTCTCATGTAGCGATTTCCTTATTTTGTTGTAATTCAAAAACGAATAACTGTAGATACATGAAAATTTCACTGAATGTTCATATTAGCATTTAATATACACTGTACAATTTTACGAAATTACATAATAAAAAACCTAGAATAACTATTTTAGTTATTTTGTTGTGATTGTATAATATTATTCATGGGTACTTGACACTTCTAAACTTTAGAAATCTTTAGAATCTAAAGTATACTATTATATATCTATGATAGTATCAGGGTTTGTTGTTGGTGTATAACGCGTTATAAGTACCTAATGGATATTGTGATATGATTAATTTGGAATTCATTATAGGTACCTATTATAGGTCAATTTTTTTAATACCATAGATAAGTATATAATATGTATTATACCCAGACTGACATACCGTCTCCACTCAGAATCGTTTTTCTTATACAATGATATTATATCATTGAATTCAAATTTAATACCTTCCATTATACAATGATCCACTTGTAACCTAATGTACAGCAGAGCACCTTTTTTTTCTTTGTTTTTCCTGATGCTTTTGAAAACTAGTATAATATTTATTTTTGACCTCCTCAGTGTATCAACTAGATTCACTTTCCCATCCAACAAGATACTGCAGTTGAAAATCGAAGTATTATTTCGATTACTTATAGTGTACTCGGACACAAATGAACAAAATAAAAATAAATAAAACACACATCATTATAAAATCGATAGATTCTTCGCTCCTCTCAGAATATAAAATATTGAAAATTTCAAATGTCTATAAATACCTCAATCAAGAAGATTTAGAAAATGATAGAACAAACAAATTGTGACACTTTAATACTTTAACGTACCTATCTACGGTTCTTAGTTTTTGAATTGCAACAAAATACATAATCGGTTTTGAGTTAAAAGTCCCATATATTACCTTTATTTTATTTTGCTTTTCAAAATTAATTAAAAAAAGGTTCCAAACATTTTCAATTTTTATCTCTTAAGTACAATCTAGTTTTAAATTTCTATCAGAAATTATCCTCAAAGTTGAAAATCGAATATATGTAGTTGTCAAATCTGTATACAGACTCAAACATTTAAAAAAAAAATCATCATTGTAACAGTCCAATCATCGCTCAGCTCAGAGTCTTTAAGACTTTAAGCTCTGGAGGGATTTATCCCCATTATCACCCCCCTTCCGTAAATACGTCACTACTTCCATTACAGTGACCTACCCAATGATGAGATAAACTCGACTCCTAATATACAGCAGATTGCAGTTACCTATTAAAAATAGTATTCTGGTCATATTATATTCACGCTAAAACTTTGAAACTTAAATATCGGTACCTAATTTGTTTTCCGATACCTACTGTTTTAATATTTGAACAATCATATGAATAATTAATATTAATCTCTACACCTGAAACCTCCACCTTATGCAAGTTAATATTAAATTATAATTTAACCATCATAAGTATTTGTTTTTACATTTGACCGATAAACACTTTCAAACCTTTTGCAGCCACCCGGAGCTGTACTTTGCAGCTGTACGTGACAGATTGTAGGTGCATTAGCATAAATTAGTATATAAGTACTATATAGGTTTGAGCTTAACTGATAAAGATAAAACAATAGCTGTGAGATCTGAAAGTAAAATAATAATATTAGTATTGTTTAGCATGTTCTATTGTAAACTGTAATATTTAACTCTTCAGAAAAAATCAAATCAAATCAAAATTCAATTATATTATATAGTAAAAGTGTACATTTTTAATAGGTATTTGTATTAACATCTGTCTTAGAAATGTTAAACATGTTCAGACGTTCAATCGGTAAGGGTTCAAAATGAATTTATCATTAAATAAATAATTATTATACTTAATTATATTTAAACGACCGATTATTATTATATCAAGGTTATCAATTGTTATATTTACTAACGGTTTCTATTATATTGAAACTAAAAGCGTTTGTATAATACTTTGGTGAATGACATCCCGGGTGAAAAGTATACATATTAATGTACGCAAGAGTTCACTTTGGGCAAAATTAATATTTAAGTCAGTGTTTACATTTATAATTTATTCATTTAAAAAATTAACGGTTATGCTATTATTCATTGTTTTTTTTTCATACATAGTTATAGTTCCGAATTCAGTAGTTACATTTAAAATCGATTAAAAAACATTACAGGTATATAACATCATATATATATATATATATATATATATATATTTATAGTTATTATAAGTAAGTACTCTATTCATCTGTCCTAAGCTAAATATTTATCTTTATATTACGTTTTCGTATTTAATACGTCTAATATTTTTTATCAAAAAAACGAGAGACGGTCGAAAGTCAAAACATAGAAAAAATATAAATTGACATTATAATATCAATATGATATCATATGATATAAATTATTCTAAAATAATGTAAATATATTATATATTAGTGTCAAACAAAAAAAATTGTAAGGTACATAATCATTTAGGAAATCACACATAAACCGATGATGTTTAATCAGGCTTTTAAATCAATAATATAAGCAGTTCAAATTAATTTAAATAAAATTCTGCAGCTATACGAAGGCCGCACAATGTATAACAATAGTCTAGTCGTCGAACAGTGTTGTAGTAGTATACAGCGCACGTCGAAATCTCAAACGGTTATCAAAAGGTCAAACACGTCGCATAATATAAGCACCTATACCTATTATATATAACATAGTTCTGTTATCATGTTGCAGGCAAGTCGCTGCGTTTAAACCGTGCTTCGAAACTAACGCAGATGGAAAACGGCCAAACTCCCAACGAAAAGTACCTGCACGATTTTACTTACCATGGAAAGGAATATTCGGTCAGCGAAGCGAAAGAGGTCTTATCCCCATATTTTGACGGCAGCGGATCCGTGGACTTGGAAAAGGACGATAATGGCATCGCCAAAATCTGCTTAAACAACCCTCGTCTCAAGAACGCCATAAGTGGTAATCATTAAAAATATTTTATGCTTATAAAGTAACTATACGTCAAGTGCAATGTCCATAATGGTGTATGAATATTGAATATTGATACCTAGATACCAGTGTGCAGTGAACTTTGAGCTTCATTTTGTACGGTGACGTGTGAAATAATAGTTATAAGTTATAGTAGTAATTAGGTACCATTCAATTATAATCGAAGCCAAAAAAAATATTATGTTATACCTAAAAAGTTGATATAATAGTACTCACCTAAATACTACAGGTGTAATAGGTATGCATTAACGAATATGTTCAAATTGAGCATGTATTGTGAATTTTATATTACAATATTGTTGGATTATTATTAGTTTTTTTTTCATATATATATATGAATCAAAATACTTGGAAAAAGATTCTATTTGGAATATTAAATTAAAACTTTATGCTATCTTTCAAAAAATTATAAAACTTAAAAAATTATAAGGATAAAAAATATATTTTTTTTATAAAAACGTATGAACAAAAATATTTTCAAAAACATTAATACTTTTTGAGATAATGAGTGTTTTACGCTTAATGAATCACCCTGTATATATATAATATATAGATAAAAATATAGATACATTATCATTATTTGCATTGACGATAAAAAATAGTGATATCTCAACAAAAACCCTTCTTTAACTACGTGTAAAAATGGCTACGTAAAAAAAAATATAAAATCTTTAAGCACTATAAAGATGTGATAACACGAATAAATGCCAAGTATATTGAATTTAAGTAAACTTATTTTGTTTCAGTAATTTATTTACTTGGCGAGGAATTATTTAGAATAGTATATAAATATTAATATAATTTTTATTTTTAAAATAATAATAAGTTATATTTTAATAGTCTTCTGCCATGTAATTATTTTGTTCAACACACTTCGTTTCTTTTAAGAAATAATTTCTCGCCAAGTAATTAAATTATTGAAACAAAATTAGTTTACTTAAATTCAATATACTTACCATTTATTCATGATATCACATCTTTATGGTATTATATTATATTATATTTTTTTTACTTAGAAATTTTAATACGTAGTTTAAGAAGGGTTTTTGTTGTGATATATTATGTTCTTGAGAATTGTACATTTGTGATTTGTCCAAATAATAATAAAATATCATATTACCTACTTATTTACATATTAGTTATTACTTATTAGTATTTATTAATTATTGTTATTATTATTGTTTTTATTATTACAATATGTCCGTATGCCGCAGTATATGGTATGCTATATCTTTGTATATACGATAGGTACACCGTACACCTAAATGGCTATTGCAATATGTATAATAAAATATAAAGTTCGGGGATTTGAAGGCAAAAGACTTTTTTTTAATAATAATAATGGAGAAATAATTTTTCTATAAAAATGCGTGTCATTTAATGTGTAAGACGATGAACGTATTTTTTTTTGCCTTTTTTACTGATAAATGTCTTTTTACAATTTTCACTGATAAATTCCTTTATTGTGTTTAATTTTCAATTGATTTAATAGTTGTATACACGACATACGTATAAACAGTACAAATCGATAAGATTTTCTGAAGACTGTGCATTTGCGGCTGTTAATTATTTTTATGGGTCTTATTAACGGAGATATTTACCGAAATCACTAAATACTTTATCGAGTATTTGGTATGGCTAGTTAATTTAATGTTTATAAAAGTACCCATGCTATCTATCTATAGATTAAAATACGTTCATAATTTGTATATACTTACTATGGATTCAAAATTGTTCGTTAGTCCGCCCCGATTACATTTTCTATGTACAAAAATAGTTTAAGCCCAAACCGTCAACGTTATACTGAAGACAGTTTATCTAAGTATACATGATAATGATTTTTTATTAATACATACTAGTTAAATAAACTGTTAACCCGCTTACTTTAACTTGTAATATGTATTCAATTTTAAGATTTTTTTTGTATGTAATTTTGATTTTTCTCCTTTATTACAGTAAAAATGATGTCAGACCTAGATGAGATCACAGACAAATTGTACCAGTGGACCGAATGCAAAGGAGCAATTTTGTATGGCACTGATGGGAATTTCTGTTCTGGAGGAGATTTGAAATTAGCAAAAAAAATGAACAACGCGTCTAACGGATATGCGATGTCTGTTTATTTTGGTCATATTCTCGACAAATTCAAAAAGCTACCCATTATTACAGTCGCATATATCAATGGCACGGGTAATATAAAAAAAAAAATATATATAATATAATATAAGGAAATTTCTGGAAAATAAAATTATTTTTCTATCGTGGACATTGGTAGTTGGCACCTATACAGTTCTGGGATTTTAATACATCAGTAAATTTGTTATCTAGGCACTTCGACTTTAATATGAAAATTAAACACTCTGAGTATGTTGTAAATTTAGTTTTCACTTGTAAAACGTGTATTTAATTTGAATTGAGCACTCATTTCGTTAATTAAGGGCCGTTCTTACAATGTCCAGTCATGTGTCCGTTAACGTTAACCGGCTGATAACAAATTTTATTACCAGCAGTGTCCGTTAACTTTAACCGTAGATTGTAAGAACGGCCCTAAGTACACTAATTATCTTCGAAGACGTAGGCAATTTTTTCTGTTTGAATTTTTTATATGAAAGTGTAAAACGTTTTTGAAAAACAAAAACCATTACAGTTTAAAACCTAGCCTTATAGGAACATTAATTAAACATCAAATAATATTATAATGTATGATTTAATATTGATTTTTTTATCTACAGGTGCGTTTGGCGGTGGCGCCGAAGTGACCACGGCGTGCGACTACAGGCTGATGTGCAACGTTGCCGATACAACAGGCATAGGGTTCGTTCACTCGAAAATGGGCATTGTTCCTGCTTGGGGATCCACCGGCCGTTTGGTGTCGATCATGGGGGGCGCCAAGAAGGTATTGGACCTATTGCTGGAGGCCCGGACTCTGAGCGCCGCCGAGGCGATGGACTTGGGTCTGGTGGACGGCACCGTGGCCACTTTGGAGGACGCTGGAGCGTGGCTATCCGGCAAGATCAGCAGGGACGTGAACGTGATCCGGGCCATCAAACGCACGGTTCTGTGCTATGACGACGACGACGATTCCAAGGCGGAAGCACGAGAGCTGGAGCGCAGGATATTCGCTCCACTCTGGGGTGGCACCGCCAATCAGGCAGCACTCCAACTGCGCCTGAAGCACAACAGATGAAACCAGTGGCGTGGAGAACTCGACATTTTTCAGATGCTAGTCTATTATTCCACCCACCCTCCAGCCCGATTGAAGCATTTTCTGTCATATTTTTAACCATACCTGCCCGTTGTAGTAAATACCAAAATACCAATTAAAATACTATATTTGTACCCAGACGCCACACCTGTAAAACTCAGAGGTGACCGCCTCCTGATTCGCCATGCCACTGGACGAAACCGTGCATTAGTCTAATGGAGAAATAACACACCCCGGTCGTACCTATTTATTGCTATTTTCGTGGCTATTACACATAATATATTATTATTTTTATTATTATTATTATTAATATAATAATATTATAACGTAATTTGTATGGGACATATTTTCAATTTTGCTTTTCTCCAATGGTGAATATTTTTTTGGAAAATATATTTGTTTTTTATAATCTTTTACCATTTACTGCTGTCTTACGATTATTTGTGTTACTTAGATTTTTTCACTATTATATTATATTTGTATTCATAATTACCTAACTACATTACACCAAAATTATATTATTTTGATATTTTTTTGTATGTTTGAGTGGTCTGCCACTTGCAGCTGTTTGGTCTTCTAGAAAGATATGGAAGCATTTGGTAGATTATGGTTCTAGTCAGCAAGGTCTAGCGGTTTAGTTCATCGTAAACTCTTTCGGTTGTAGGTATTTAATCTGCTAAGGAAATTTTTTAATTTACTTGTTATCTATTTTTAAAAGCAAGGGTTGTGTATTTGGTACTCGTGTAGTATGCTAACTACCGAAAAATATTTCATTCCTACCTGTTATACTTACTCTTATATTAATGTTTATATATTTTTTTAATTTTATTACGGGAAAGTACCTTTGACTCGAGTTATTAAATGAATAATAATAAACTATAACAATAATTCAATGTAAAATGGCATCTTGAAAGATATTATTTATATATATTTTGTCAATTCTCAGTTATTTTAAATAAAGACAAATAAATAATCTTCTCGAATTTATATACATATTTTAGATTCTGAACTGTTTAAAAGTTTCTATTCGTTTTATCCAGTTTTTAATTTTTAGGGTGACATCTGGTAGCAAATTGGATATAGTACTTCTATAAAACATAGGGCATAGGGGATCAAAAATCCCAAGTTGCATAAAAACCTTTTCAAAATATTTTCTATCTATTTATCTTTTTGTACTTTTAGGTATTTTAAATTTTCAAAATTGCTTTCATAAAATTGAAAATTTGTCATTAAAAAATTGTAGTGTCTTTTGTATCAAGTTGTTAAAAAGTATTAGAAAGTATAGTAACTTGACATATTTTACTGTTTTTTAAATTATTAATTTCAATTCTCAATTGAATTGTTAAGCTATTTACCTATATGAATTAAAAATGTTTAAATATTTGTAAGTGTTAATAAACATTTATAAGCTCGGTAAAAAAAAAGCTGAAAATTGAATACAAAATCCTAGAAAAGTTATTCTTTTATAAATGTAATTATACCTAGGCACGATTTTTTTCATAAGTGTTTAAAGTTAAAATGTTGACAACAATTTTCAAACAATTTTGTAATTAAAAAATTAAAACTGCCTACAACCAAAGTTTGCAACTGACCCATTCTTGTTTACTGTGAGTGCTAAATTTGTAACAATTGGTGTCGATATAACCTATAAAATAATAATAACTAAATTACCTAATGAAAAAAATACAAGGATATGTGAAAAGTCCATAAATTTTTTTGTATTTTGAAGCACAGTTTAATGGCCACAAAATATAAAATTAGTATCTCTTAAAGGTAACTTATATAAACCTGAACACAAAACTTAAATGTTAATATACGCGTTATAATTGGAAAATAAAATGAAATTATTCTCTTAAATTGTAATAATGCAGTTAACTTAAAATAGGTAATATTATTTATAATTATAACCAACATACAGAAAAAAATATTTAATACAGTATCGAAAAGGAAATGTTATACGTTTATAAGTGAACATATTATTATATACTTTATTATAGGTTTAATATAATAAATGGATAATTCCAACTATCTAAAGTACATAAGGTAATATTTAAACACTCTTCCCAATAACGAGTAACTATTATTAGGAACTGATTAAATATATAAATAACTGATTATTAGGTACTGGTTAAACAAAAAAAAAAAAAAAATTGAAAAATGAATGTGTTTAAATTGAAATATGGTCTATAAAAACTAAAATATATAATATGATGTAGTATAATAATATAATAAAACATTACTTGGAATGACTGTGCATAATTTTTGAAAATTATTTAATTACCTACGACGAAACCTTTGAGGCATTATTGTCGTTTGGAACGAATAAAATTCCGGTTTGTGATAATTATATAATAATAATAATAATAGTAATAGTATAATAATTATGATAGTTATATAATAATAATAATAAGATGATGACAATAATACAATTATTACGAACAAATAATAAAAATATATTATTATATAGTGTAGCGATATTATTATTATCTAAATTTGTATTATTCTGATTTTGTCTTAAAATGTATAATAATATTTAAAATTTTGTATTTATGACTAAGACTCAACTTGATCAGCCGTTGCTCTCCACTCAGAATAAGTTCAAACTCTGGAGTTTGTTGACTAGATCTCTTCTGAACCGTCTGATTGTATTGCTGATGTATGGGAAGTTGGGTTGATAATCGTTGTTCGGCAACTGACCGGCCCTCGTGCACGACTCGCAGCAGAACTTTTTGTAGTACGGATGATTACAGTAGGATCCCTTCACGATCAGAGAACAATTGGCGAAGAACCGGCTGTCCGTGCAGTTTGGATGGATGTACAAGCCTGTACGGAAAATGAAGGTTTAAAACAAAAGCACTATTATTTTATTTCTAATTGTTTGATGTATTATACTGTGCTCAAGCCTCATTTCCCACAACCCCATGGGATTTCGTTATCGGAACAATCAAAGTTGATTATAATTTCCTACCTACATAATATTATGTGATGAATAAATTAACTTTGCAAAAGTTTACTCCCTCCCTTCTAAGAAAACCTTGCAAATATATTATTATTAAAATTATAATACGACATTATTATGCTGCTTGCAGCTATATATTATAATATATTGTTATACTGTACGCACCTTCTATTGTAATGTTTACGGTTTTCTCGTCGGAGCTGTACGAGTTGTACGCTTCACATTTATAAGAACCCGAATCCGACGCATTCGTACGGACGACAACCAACTTGTTTTCTAAGAGAAGAAAAAAAAAAATCATGTTTAAGCGTAATATTATGTACCTACCTATATATAGATAGGTATACTCATTATGCCGATTTGCATAATTTAAAACAATCGTCATGGCGCCGTTTGTGGTAGGTACACACGCTTACCGGTCGCTTGAGTCCGTTCATTGTTCCGTAGTATTTGCCCGTCTTTGTACCAGGTCACAGTGGGTATCGGATAACCGTCCACCGAACAAGGGATCGTCAAGTCCGAACCGACGGCGATTATTGTGGTAGGCAAAGATATATTAACTCGTACGGGGACTGTGCCAGAAAAATTTTCAATTAAAATCATTGCGAAACAACGGTATCAGTTTTAAGACAATAAAAAAAAAAAAAAAATTACAAACTGAGATGTTTGTACTATCATTATTTTTGATTTTTTTTTTTTTAATTCTAGTACACTTAATTAACTAATTGTCATCATTGATATAATTATTTAAAAATGTAACAATTGTATGAAGTCCCATATTATTCTGCATACTAATGAATATGCATACCAAATATAGAAAAACAAACAAATAATTATTAAATTAAATTACCGTAAATACCGTAAACTGTAAACAAATTATCAACATTACCGAAACTAATAATTCATTAGTTATGATAAATATTATTGAATGGTATAATGTGCACAATATACAATAATTTCCATGACCAAAAGCTAAGAAAAATTATTTTTTTTAGGTGAAGTGTGTTTTTCTTGCAACATAACTAGGTACTTATACTACCCAAATGTGTTATTTGTTTGGTATAGTATCTATGTGTTAGACTAATAATACAATAGAAAATTAATATTAGTTTTCTAAAAGCAACATTTTAGTATTTTTAAATCAGTTATAATAGATAGGTAATACCATTACACCAATAAATAACACGATTATTAGTAACAAGAAACCAAATCCAATAGTAGCGGTTTAATATTACTTATATATAAGTAAATACTAATTTAGTATAGATTCATGTAGAGAAAATTTCTAGTGTTTTTTTATAACTTAGGTACCTAATGCACCATTATATGGTGTCAAAAATCCGCCATTTAAAGAAAATCTTTATAAAAAATTACCGTTTTACCAGGGAGATGAGCATCTGTACCAAAAATAATATACCACAACATTGATCTGGTTCAAAAACAAATAGGTATATAACTATATTTGGGCACCCATGTGGCGATTACCTATATACAGCTTGTTTTACTTAAATAGTAAGTTACACAACATATTTCAGCCAGATGATCGTAGATTGGAAGATTATGAAGATGATAGAGATTATTAAAATACATATTATACGTGCATTTTTGCATTTTCACCTTTTAGATGTGCCCATACGCAATAGCACGTATTTTTTTTTAATAGCAACACAATTTTTTTACCAAATTCAAATAGCAACTGTAATGGATATACTTTTTTTCTATTTCAACAATTGACTGATTTAAAACAACACAACTTAAAGTTTCTTGTTGAAAGGTAGGTATATTGTAATGCATACAGAACTTTTTTATTTGACTTTGGTTTTATGTAATAAAAACGTTCACCAAAAATAATTGAATATGACGAAATAAAGGAGTCCGGTTATAAGGTTACTTGTCATTAAATAATAATTCATTATTATTTGTTTTAACTTCAAATATTTCTGTAAGTCAGTCAACTTTTGTGGTAGATAAAAAGCTTACTCATCAGAGTTGCTTGAAAATTAGAATTTTTTAATTTGGTAATAATAATATGTGTTACTATTTAAAATAATATAAGTCTTCTTGCGGATTATGACACAAAATTGGCACAGAATATGTATTTTAGTATCTATTCTTCTAACTTCTAAAGTCATCTGACTGAAATTTCGTATTTCTGTGTTACCTACTATTAAGTGAAACTGTAATCCACTGCATCACACATAGCAATCGCGTGATTTACCCACCAGTTTCGTTTCTAGATGAAAAAATGTTGTTTCAAAACATCGTTGTGGTTTTGTTGGTCGAAATATGCAGACGGATATAATATGGCACTATGGTGGAGATTATAAACGGTAGCAGCAATGGTGACGTGGGCGGGGGCACTTACCAGTGAAGACCTTTTGCTGCGTCGCCTGCGTGGTCTCGATGTCGGAGCGTTGCGAGGTGACCGTCCTGTAGATGGGCGGCGGCCTGGTGAGTCTGACGACGATCGGCTTGAGTCGGATCACGTCTCCGGTGCCTGGGTACCTTGGTGGTGGCACCAGGTAGGGATTGTACGGTTGGTTTAGGGCAGTGCTGTGCGCCTGGAGCGTGACGCTCCACGATGACGCCCGACCAATGCCGTTGTACACTTGGCACGTGTACGGACCAAGCACGTTGATTGTCACCATCCGGATGTACAGCGAATGGTCGTTCCGCTGTTCGAACGTTTCGGATGTCATCGGCAACATCCGGTCGGCCCTCCACCAAGTGACGAACGGCCGTGGCCAGCCGACTGCGTAACACTGCAGCACAGTGGGGCTATTGAGGGCGACGATGACGGCCGTGCTCTCCTCGCCGATAACATTCGCGGGTCTTGGGGACGGGTCTGCATGACGACGGGGGCGACAAGTACACGAGTACGAGAAGTAGAAGTAGAAGAAGAAGAACACGAAGACGAAGAAGAAAATCAACCAATGGTGCGAAAACACATGCAAACATCCAGTGTAAGTTAAAGTAAGCGTAGGATTGTCATGATTATAATATTATTATTATCAATGTGCGTTATGCAAAGAGTTCGAAAGCGTTAAATTCTCGATAATATAATATAATTATTATATAACGTGTTTGACCATCCTCTATTTTTCACGTACATCGCGAACTTAAGATATCGGCATATAATATTGTATCCAGCATTCAATCGAGTTATAAGCATTCTTTAAGTGTAGGTAAACTTGTTTAAAATTAAAATTGTTTTAAATCTGTGTTACAATATAGATAATTTTGTGAACTCTAAATTGTATGTATAATATATATATATATATAATAGTGCTAAAGATTTTAAGCACTCTATACTAGTAAAACTATTTTTGCTAAAATCAGCTGAAAGTGAATTTGATATATTACACCTAACCAACGGAGACAATAAATGTCAGCGAGGCGTCCTCTAAAAAGATTGTAGCTACACATTTGTTGTGATTGTGCGTTAATATTTTTCAAAAAGTTTCCATCTTGAAATTGTTTCTATCAAATAAGATTAGCATAAAAACAAATGTTTAATACGAATTAAAAAAAAAACGGATAAATAAGTTTTGTGATACAAATAGCATGGTGTAAACTTGTGCCATGTCCTGTAGCTGATGGCAAAATACAAAGTTCCGTCAATCCGGTTTTTATAGTGTACTTATATACTTCACCGGCTTTAACAACCTAAAGGGCATGGCGCTGTTGTAGAAACTTGTCTATATAATATTATCAATATAATAGCTGGTATTATATGCGAGTAACGATAGTCTACCAGTGCAAACGCGTACAGTAATATTCCAAATTATAAAGCGTAAGTATTAGATACGAAAACAATAAATTCCGTACCTCTGACAGTCAAGTAAACCTCTTTTCTGATTGGTTCACCAATACCGTTGCTGGCCATGCAAATGTACACTCCCGAATCGTATTTGTACAGTCCAATGATCTGTAGTGTACCGTCTGCAAACAGCTTGTAATGACCACCCGATCCATCGATCTGAAACATGAGTACACACACTCTCTTAATATGATGATAAAAGTATCTAATTGTCGACTGTGTTGGTTTTTTTGTCCTATTCTTAAAGTAATCGAAAATTGGTCTGATCATTTTTTTTCGTATCACCACCACCGCATAAGGTGAATTATTTTTTTAAGAGGTTTATTAGGTAGGTTTACGAAGTATTTTGTTTTCAGATTTACAAAATATGGAGAGATTTTGTTTGAAAATGTCTAAATACTATTTGCTCGCGCAGCTCGTAAACTGTATAGGCAAGTGAGTGGCGTTTTAGACATTTACGAATGCTAATGCTCATAAAGGTTTACCATTCGACTACTGTAAGACATATTTTGGATTTACATTGAGAACTGACTTTAAAGTATTATTACCAGTGTGGTGTTCTTCTGCCAAACGATCGTCGGCGTAGGTGTACCGATGACTATGCACCTGAGAGTGGCGAAGTTTCCTTCATCAGCTTCTACGTTTGAATCGACGGTGACGATTTGCGGAGGCGATTCTGTTAGTATGTGAAAAACACATATGGACAAATAATAATAATTTATTAGAGATATATAATGTTTGTCACTAGTAGTCACCCTCGTTTTTTTTGTGCTAGTTAAACATATTTTTCATTCTACTCCTTTTTATATTTTTTACATTAGGGTGATCTTAGCCATCTGACTTAAAAAAAAATGGATTAGACGAGTTTGCTTTAATTTTAAGCCTCCTCCCCCATGGGCGTACCACTGCTCATAGTGTGTATGATATTCATATATAAATTACGAAATCTCTCATAACTACATTACCTACAGAATTACACGTTTGGTAAGTAGGTATCTATATTTTACCTTTTTCTTGAGTAACCGCAGTGGTCGTCGACGGCGTCGTCGTCGTTGAGGTGGATTGCTGAGGACGTAAGCAGAAAGTACCACATCCATTGTAACAACACTTGTCGTCTCCCACGCAATCAGCATCTGTTCTACATTGTTCAGCGCAGTCGCTCTGGTAGACGGCAATTTGAGGACATTCTCCTGGCTTGAATACTTCAAAAAAAAATATACATAAACCCATTAAATCGGTTATCAAACAATTATTCAACGAAATTGTAAATTACTACATTTATATAAGCATTAAGTAAAACTAAGAATAATTATCATGAATTCAATACTGCAAATATGATAGATACAATTTGACTTCATATTTTATTATCTGATTTATTTCTAGCTTTAAATATGATGACAATTAAAGATTTTCAGCTAAAACATTGGTGGATTTAATTTATTTAAGATAGATATATCTAAAGATATTATTTTAATGCGTAAACTTGTAAGTTAGGTATACATTTGTATTTGGTATTTTAAAGGCGGCTAATTTAATTTTAGATCAATAAATTGACTACAAGTGCTAAAATTTCGTTATCTTTTATAGATATTATTACCTGGTCTACACGTGGCCTTGTATTTCGAGTCTCCGTTGTCTGACGTAATTACGTCCACTATACATTGATAATCTGCCGGGCAAACTGATTTTTGATCTGGTGCTGGCAAGCAAGGATTAAAACATCTGCAGTCTTCACAACCAACAGAATTAATCCATTGTTCAAGTCCATAAGGACATCTGGTTGCTTCTTCAGAAAGTTGTTTACAACGTAATTTCCCTGCTTCACAAATGTCTGTAGATATTTGTCGTTCATCTGGTTTTGGTGTTTCCTGTACAACTGTATTTGCTGTCAACATAACAGTTAAACAAGTTTAAACACGTTTCGTTTAAAATGAAAGCGGGCTTAGCTTTTTATTTACCATTTGGATCAATATATGGGTGACAAATTCTTTCGCATTCTTCAACCGATTGGAACTTATTAGCATTTCCTTCACAACCACTATAAGTAAAAGATTCACATCGTCTCGAGGATGTTTTGAAATACCACATATCAACCTATAATAATAATATACAAAAACACAATATAAATTAAAATTTGTATGTTTTAAGTAATTCAATTTAAGTTGTTATTACAGTTTGAAGACAAGGACCAGGATCAAGCGGAATTAGACAAACGTCACTTGGTCGTGTTGCAGGTATTACTGGTGAAGCAACTGTTACGGTATTTTGTACACAACGTGTTTCACATGTTTGTCGGTCATTAAAGCGGTTAGTGTTTCCTTGACACCCACCATATTGGAATTGGAAACATCTATCGCTATTTTTATCATAATACCATTGTCTGAAATCTCCTCTACACGGTCCTTCTACTTTCGGCAGCTGACATAGATCTAGAAAAGAAAATTATGGCATAATATTTTCATATACCTACTACTTTATTTAGAAATACATTTTTTATCAAACTATTGCTACCAGCTACAATGTTATGTATTTTCATTACCTTGCGCTTCGAAACACTGTTGTTCACATTCTTGTTTAGAATCAAAACGGTTTTCATTACCTCCACAACCACCGTACATGAATGGTTTGCAAACGCCGTCTTGTCTATCATAGAAATATTTGGAAGACATATTGCTACAATTACCTCGGTCTTGGCGCAAGAAGCATTTGTCTAGATATTGTATTAAAAAACAATCATTGTTTACGGAATTTTTCTTTTTTTTTGTATTTATAACATACCTATTGAAAATTGACTAGGTGCTAGAGTTGTAATACGGCCAGAATCGATACATTTATTTTCACAGTTATATTCTGTTTCGAAATTATTTTCATTTCCTCCACAACCACCATAGTAAAATTGTCTACAACGACCATCCAAAGAGTTAAAGTACCAACGATTTACGTAGTCATGACATTCACCGACAAGAGCGGGTAATTTACATGTATCAATTTCTGAAATATTATTGGATTTTTAAATTTTCTTCCAGCAAAATATTATGAATACTATACATTTAACCATTATAATGGCTTACTTCTCTTAGATGGACATTTCTTTTCACAAGACTCTTGCGTCTCATAATTGTTAGCATTGGCACCACAACCAGTATAATAGAAAGGTTTACATGCGTTTTCGTTATTATCAAAATACCACCTTGGGATCTTCTTATCACAATTTTTATCACCCCGAGCAACAGTCATCAAACATTCTTCTAAATATTTACCAAACCCACATGCATTTTATGTTAGTAGCAAACAAAGTTTATATAATTAAATATTGATTAATACATTCAATTTAAACACAATACTACTATATATTAATATATTATACTATTAAAACCAATATTGTTAGATCAAATCAACAGAACTACAGATTTCATAAGTTAAGAAAAAGTATACATCCCAAGTCCATTCGTAATTTGCAGACTATAGGTTTTTATGTACCTTTAATTAATAACTCTGAATAACAATTCGCTATACAATCTGATTGTGAATGAAACCTATTTTTGTTTCCACCACAACCTCCATACACGAATTTCCTACATTTCGTCTTTTCATGGTTATAATACCAATAGACTTTATTACCCTCACATGGACCAGAGTCCTTTGGTAGTTTGCAAACATCTTCGTCTAGTTCTTCTAGAAAAAAGAAGATGTATTTATTTATAACAATAAATCACTGAGAATTCTTCATCTGTTTCTCGTTTTCTTCGTCGATTAATTTATGTCATTATAACATGTAGTATCTTTAGCATTATTGATTAAGCTTATCTACTCTCATGCACTTTAAAATTGGCATAAAAACGTAACTATTATTTTAAATCTAAAATGTATCAAACTTACCTTGGGTTTTGAGTGGGTTTATACATTTATGATTGCATGACTCTTTATTCAAGAAATTATTTTGACTTCCTTTACAACCGCCATAGTTAAATTGAGAACAGGAACGTGTTGATTTGTCATAATACCAACGTGAGAAGTTACCTTTACAAGGTCCAGGCGTAAGTGGTTGCTCACAAGGATCTGTTTACAGTTTGGAATAAAAAAATTATAAATGTATGGTTAAATTATTAAATTATTAATTTGTATACCCAAAGTATCAGGAATAACACAAAGATGTTCACATTCTTCACGTGTTTGGAATTTGTTATTATTACCAAGGCATCCACCATAAACAAATTGCGCACATTGTTTTCGGTCTTGATCGTAGTACCAAGTAGGGTAATATCCTTCACATGGTCCCACGCTTTTTGGTAAGTAACATACATCTATAAAATTAAATGTTTCCAATTGAGTAGTTCAATAAATACATTTGTGAATTAGGCAGTTATGTATTTATGTATTTATGTACCTCGGCCAGATGGTTCAACACATATATCTTTACATTCTTCTTGGGTTTTGAATCGGTTATTATTTCCATTACATCCACCATACCAAAATCTTGAACAACCACCATACTCAGTATCAAAGAACCATTTAACAGTGAAATCTGAACAGCTACCGCGGTCTTTGGACTCTTTGCATCTATCTAAAATGTTTACGATTTATATGATTACTTCAAATATATGTAAATAATTTATAGTTGTATAGTTACCTCCAGGTAGAATAGGTTTAGATTGACACCCTTCGAAATTTTCACCTTTAGACTCAGTTATACCATCTAAACAACATCCATATTTAGATGCCTCGCAACTACAATTTTTAGCTTCATCTGGAGCTGGTGTATTTTTATCACTACAACATCCGTATTGAGTATATTCACAACCACACCCTAAGACAGAAAAACAAAATAATTAATTAAAAATATGATAATAATATTAACTTTCAGCATTGTACCTTGCGAATTTGGACCAATTGCTTTAGTAATACCATCGGGACAGCAACCAAACTGGTATGTATGGCACGCACAACCTTGGTACTGAGGCCCTGTAGCCGGTGTAAAATTATCTGGACAGCATTTATGTTCGGTGTATTGGCAACTACAGCCAGAGTTATTTGGTCCTCTAGCAGTTGTAGTATTGTCTGGGCAACATCCAAATGGCGTATAAATACATCCACAACCTAAAATAAAAAAATTTTTCAACATTATAATCGGGTGGCCACTTTTTTCATGTATACCAAGTCATATCACATTATAACCGCATATAATATGCTGATTTTAAATATTAATTAATACATTTATAGGTTATATAATAATATAGGTGCGTAAATTATAGGTATGTAAAATAAAGTATTCAACATAACATAATATAATATAATTCAAGCAAAAAATAAAGTTGTGAGAGTAATTTTAAATATACCTTGTAGACTAGGTCCATTGGCTGGTACTATATTGTCTGGACAACAGCCATATTGGGAATATAGGCAACAGCCTTCTTTATTTGGCCCATGTGCAGCAGTAGTATTATCATCACAACATCCAAATTGTTCTTTAGCACATGCAGATAAACATTCTAGAAATATATCAGATATTAATGTAAAATAATAAGGGGTTACTTTTTATTTTTTTCAACCATTTAATTATTATATCAAAGTTAAACAATTTGGAATCTAATTTTAATATTTAAAAAATTTGAATCATGATGTATTAATGAAGAACGTAGAACATTCTAATATATAGTATTTATTTTATTTCGTACAGTAATTACCTGTGTCGTTTTCATTATAAGTACAATTATCGAAATCAACTCCTATACACCCTTCAAGATTATACCCTGATGCTGATGATACTCCATCAGGACAGCATCCAAATTCTGATAATTGACATGAGTCTGTCGGTGGTTCTGAAGTAGATGTTATGGATATGAAACCATCAGTTGTCACTAGAATATATTATGTGTTGATAGTTTGAATCATTTTTAAATAATTATTATGTTATTATGAATACAGAATAATACAATTTACTGTATTTATTTTATAATACAAGGGAGTAACACAATATTGATGTACAATACAACAATGTAAATCATTTGAGTAGAAATCTGCGTGCACATACTTTAAACACTCTTAAAAAAGTTAACTTGGCTTAAAGCTGATTTTAATTTATTGTTTTAATTTTTATCAGTTATGATAATAGTAGTTTATCCTAAGTATAAACACAAAAAAAATACGATAGAAAATAAAAATGATAACTTTTTTTACAACAGAAATTGCGTTTTTACTTTGATATTGATTAATTTTATAATCATTTTCGATGTATTTATCACGTTTTATCTACAATGTACAAATTGTAAAACCATAAATATCATAACTTACAATTATCTTGGGAATCAGGGCAACCAGTCATATTTGGTCCTGTAGCTGCAGTAACATTATCTGCACAACAACCATAGGCTGTTTCTAAACACGAATCACATTCTCCTGATCCTTCAACGCATTCATAACATCCTTGGAAACTAGGTCCTGTAGCAGGAGTCATTCCATTTGGACAACAACCAAATCTATATATATATATACAAAATAAAAATGATTATTTATGAATAATAATGAATTATAATTATTTTTAATATTATTATTATTAATTACTATTATTAAATATATTAATATTACTGAGTATTTTTGCATCCGAGATCTGGTGCCGATGTCGTTGTCAATACAGGTGTAGTTACTTCAACAGGACATCCTTCAAAATCATTTCCTAGTGAAATACTATAGCCATCCGTACAGCAACCGTACAAAGTAGCGTTGCACACTGAAGGGGGACACCCTTCATTTTTAGGACCAGTTGCAGGAGTCACACCATCCGAACAACAGTTATGTTCTGTGTCTTTGCAAGTATGTACATCTGGGCAACCTAAAAATATTTTTAATTAAAACAATTAATTGAATTTTCAAAGAATTCATTTATTTTTAAAAATGTATTTAAATAGATCTTTATCTTTATCTATATTATTCTAGTTGTACCAGCACTAAACGGTCCTTTAGCAGGCGTTTTTTCATCAAAACAACATCCAAATTCTGATGTTTGGCAACCAACCAATTTCTTTTTCTTCTTACAAATACGTTTGCTCTTCTTTGAAGCCGCAATTAATGGATTCGCTATTAAAAAAATATTTAATTGGTAAATGATTAGATACATTTATTCAGTTCCAAAACCTATGAATTAATTAAATGTTATACTTTTTTTTGTTGAATTAGTGACTGCAGTTAATGTTGTCATAGCTACAGATGTTTCACTAGTATAATCAGAAGTGCTAACTGATATCTCGCTTGATGATGCGATTGTTTCTGACGATGAAAGAGATGTAGATAGCTCGGTGCTTGATGGTAAGTTGATGGTTGATGTAATATCAGTACTGGAAATTGCATCTGTACTTGCTTCAGTAATTGAATCAGATACGGCAGTGCTTTCTGTATCAGTTGAAGACATTGACACAGTTGTTAACTCCATAGGAGTCGTTTTATCACTATTTTCGGTACTAGATTCAGCTGTAGATGATGAAATATCCACTGAAGATGATATATTTCCATTACTCGTCATTGTTTCCGTTTGAAGTGTTTCAGTCTGAGATGTAATTGTTGTTGGTTCAGGAGATGTTGACGGTGATGATGAAGAAACTGGTGTAACAGTGTCAACTGTCGAGGAAACATCAATTGTAGTTGGCGTGTCAATAGTTGTTGGATCGGTTGTTGAAATATCTGTGGTTGATATATCAGTGGTTGACATATCCGTTGTTGAAATAATGGTCGAGGAGGATTCAAACGTACTCGATAAATCATTTGCAATGTTAGGGATATCAGAAGTTTTAGCAAAAGTAATTTTAGAATCTACGATTGCTTGTCTCCTTTTGCGTTTGGTTGGGGTAGTAGTAGTATTAGAGTTTTGTTTTTTTTCTGTAGATGTTACTTTTATTTCTGAAGGAGCAGTGCTTCCTTTTTCAGTGCTTATTGAATCTGTAGTAAATATATTTGATTCTTCGGATTTCATTGTAATTTTTGAATCTGTATCAATCATATTATCATCGGATGATTGTGTGTAGGACGATGTTGTAGCCTATAGTAAAATAAATAAATAAAACATGTAAGAAATCCGTTTTGAAACGTAAATCCTTTCCCTCCTAATTGCATATTATAATAATTCACAGTCATACTATTATAATAGAAACAAATTTACTTCATAATCCGGTTCAATTGCAAATGGTGTAACAGTTATCATTTCATCTTCACATTCTTCTTCTTCGAGCGTATCTTCTTCAGTAATTGGTTTCTTAGACTCAACAGGCATAATTTGATCTAATAAAAAACAAACAAAAATTAACAATTATGTGTTAGAGATAATAATAAGTGAGTAAACTGATATAGACAAAAAAAAATTTTACCTTCACCACAAGGCTGTTTATTACATTCATCACTAGTATATAAAAGTGTTTCAGGTTTACACTGACTAGCGTCCACAGTGGAGTTTCCAGCCATACAAAATACCTTCCTACTCTTTTCTCCAGAACCGCAAGGTTTTGAACACTGTATAATATTCAATCAATTTATAAACTAATAATACAAATAATTAGACAAAATGGTTAGATATTCATTGCTTAAACATACTGCAGTCCAAGGGCCTGAAAACCATTCTCCTTTGCATGTTTCTTTTCCAGTACAGTTTTTAGTATCTTCATATTTTTTGCTTGGATCACATTTTACATTATCAACTTTTTTGATCGATTCACCAACTAAAGATCCACAAAAAACTTTTCTAATTTGTTTCCCAGTACTGCATTTTGATGAACACTAGACATATTTTCACATCATATTATCATAACAAATATGTCGTATCGAACAAAATAATAACAATAAACAATAATATAATAGACATTGTAATATACCTCACTCCATTGAGTGGCGTACCACTGATACTCGCATGCATCTGAAGGAGTGCAATTTCGTATGACTTCTGGATATTTTGAATTCTTACAAAATTTAGTATCATATAATTTTCCTTTAGCATTTGCACAAATCACTTGTCTAGTTTCGAAATCCAAATTACAATCACCACACTAAATTTGAGTAATAAAATATTAAATTAACGTTGATATAAAGATAAAATATACGAAAAATAATTTGCTTTCTTACTCCTGACCACGCAGAAGTCACCCAATCGACGCCCTCACATGGACGTAGCTGGCATTTTTTTTCTGTGTCTGGTTTTTTAGTATCACATTCGTCATCGTTTAAGACAATAATTTTTCTATCCACTTTTCTGTAGCAACTAACTTTTCTGGTTTGTTTACCTGCCCCACAAAGTTGATTACACTGTTGATAAAAAAATTAAATTATCTAAATTAATTGTTATAATATTTCAATTAGGTATATATTACAAGATTCAATTTGTTATATTTTAAATTTAAAAATAACTATTAATATTATTCAAAATTATGATAATTATAATATATAAATACATGTGTAATACATTTTATGTTAACTATAAATTATTTTATTTTCATGAAATATTGACTTCCTAGAGTGATTTTAAATCATTACAACGAAAGTTTTGTATTCCAGTGGTAAAAATTTATTTAAGATATGTCAAAATTGTCTTCTTTTAGACCCCAATTACAAGACAAAAACATAAAGATACCTTGTGTAAATTATGCTATAAAATATTTTTATCACTTAAACTAGTCTACATTTTTTTTTGCCAAAACAAATAAAAACCCACTTTACCAATGTTATACCTATATTATTTTATATAAATGTAATTTAAATCTTCTTTAATTAATATTAAAATTAAAATGTGTACATATTATGTTAAAAATACAATAATTAAAATTCTTAAAAATATAATTTATAAAAAAGCTAACTATTTAATATTATTTTAAACAAATCCATTGCTTACTGGTTTCCAAGGATCAGTGTGCCATAATGGACATTCTAGCCCCACATTACATGGTTGTTCAGTGGCCGGCTTAGTTCCATCATACTGTTCACAATAGTTACTATCTGCGGGAACATCAACACCATTGATTCTTCGCACACATCCAACCTAAAACCATAATTACTTTCTGTAAGGCACTTAAATATCAATATCCATGATTGATTCCAAAACAATACACAGTTTTTCTGGTTCAAAATTTTATCAGAATCGAAGTTGAGCTCAAAAGGCGAACTGTTGTTAATAAACCGTTGTTTTAAGTATAATTATTTATTTTAATCTTTAAGCATAAGTTCATGTTTTCAATAAATTAAGTTTAAACACTAATATATTCTAGAAAACAGTGTATTTTTAAACTGATTAAATGTTCTTTTAGTTAGTAGGTAATAATAAAAAGAAATTTGAAATTATTATTTGTCAAATATGCTTAAAGTATATTAAAATATTTTACTTCTCTAGTTTGTGTTCCGTTTTGTCCACATTTGTGTGTACATAATGTCCAATTAGCTGGAGCCCATTTAGGTGGACATGGTTCCATTGAACATGATTGTGATTTTAATGGTTCCAAACCTGGGTCACAAAGTTCTGTGGGTACAGGCATAGAGTCGTTCTTTTGAGCACACCAAACGTTTCGAGTTCTTGTACCTTTAAGACAAAAGTGTTAATAAAATATAATGGTTTAATGTACAGATTATTACTTATAAATATTAACCTTTTGGTAATTTGATACATTTGTCAAAATTATTATGTTTATACTTTTTTTGTACTTAGGTAATAATAATAATAATACACTAATAATAACTGATTTAATATTATCATTCAATTGTTCAATTTCAGTTTTTCTTATATAAGGTATAATAGGACTATTCAACAAATTTCCATTACAAATGTTACTATATAATGCTACTATTAAATAGTTCCTTTAAACCCTGTAGATATAGGTAATTTACAAAACGTGAAAAATGTTGAACTCCAAAATTTTTTTAGAATTGTTTTATATAATACTAGAATTTTGAACAATTAAATTTTAACTAAAATTAAAAATATTAAAAATTCTAATCAATTAAATCTAAAACAGAATAATTCTCATTTTTGAAAGTATAATGCCTAGATAGAGTATAGAATGAATTTAAATTATTTCAAAATTTTATCACCTCAATGAAACATAAAGTCTTTACAATATATGTTGTTAAAATAAAAATAAAAACCTATTTTTGAGCATTTTTTCTAACCTAAAAATCTGATTGAGATTTACAAACAAAATAAATAAATAAAATAAACCCATTTACTGTGGTAGTTCCTCAGTCCTCACATTATCTTAAAAATTAACAAATCTAAGTGCAGTATACAACAACTGAGTAGGTATAAGGATTATTGTTTGTTGTAATCTTATATATAAAATAAACATTTGTAGAATTAATAGTAGAAAATATATATCCGTATATATTGTCCTCAGTTAATTACACTTAATAAAATATAATAACTACAAGTAAAATGAACAAATATAATATTACTTATATGTAGTGTATAAAATGTTATTTATCTAACTGAACTACATAATATATGGTATATCTAATTAAAAGCCGCTAAGCAAAACATAAATGTAACTGTTATTACCTCCGCCACAAGTCGTATTGCATTCAGTAAACTCATTATATATCCAACCGTATCCTTTGGATAATGTTAGTTTTGCAGCACTAGTTGGGATGCTATATTCGTATTCGATTCCGGGGTTAGCTTCTTGATACAGTAACTAGTGAAAAATATAATAAAAATATCGTTAAAAAAATTTTAACTATAAATAAACTAGGTATGTACTAATTTTTGATTAATCGAATGCTTTTATTTTTATCGAGTAAAATGTTAATTAAAACTAATTGGTGTCAAGTTTGCGCCCATACTGGCTTAAGGGCTTACGGTAAATCATTATTCATCGCATAGTTAGTAGGTAAAAAAAAAAATGAATATTTACTACTTAATTAGTAGAAAATAGGTCCATAAATCATCACTATAGAGAATTATAAATTTTATGGGTATATAAAATTTAATTAACAATTAAAATATTTTGAACGAATACAAGGACCATTCATAGTTATTTTGATTTATTATTTTTATTATAACTTTTAGTTAGTAAATATAAAATTGAAAAGTAAATGTAAGCTCAACTACTTACCACGATATAAATGGCTTCTGAAATTGGTCCTAAAGATGTAATTATTTCAGGTGTGTAAAGTGCTCGCTTTTTCCTCTCATAATGGAAAACGGAATTGCAGATTTTCAGACTTCTAGGATAATCGATCTTCCAATTACCATTTAAGTAGTAGTGTCCAGAAATGTTTCTAATTGCTTTAAATGTTATATTTATGTTATAAAGTGTCATGTAAAGAATAAGCACAAGCGTTTTAGAATTTTAAATTACCTAAATAATTATTAGATGGTTGAATTTCCCTTACTCTTATGTTAGTAGCACCTGCTGGAATCAGAAGTATATCCGTATAGCCTGAAAAAAAAACCAAACATAAATAATTATTTAAAATAATAATATTTACATTATACATGATAAATAACATAATTGATACAAATAATTATATTAAAATTTTAATTTCGCGTGTAGAGTAGAAAACGCTTTAAATCTCATACCCAAAGCACTCTTTATACAACACTATTATAAGGAGAGTTTGATAAAATATTATAAATATTTTGATTATAACAAATATAAATTATAAAGTTACGTACCATACTGTAAATCATTCATGTCCAATATTCCTTGGACGGTGTTGCAGTTGGATCCATCTCCTCCGCAGTTTCGACAACGATCTTCTCTTACCGGTGAACCCAATAGATTATCACATCCCACTGACTGAAATTTATATTTATATAATCCACAATTGTATGTATTTTACATTAATATTACATTAGTTAAATACGGAGTTGTTTAAAAATATAATATTAGCAATTAAGTTATGTAAGCGTAATACTTGTACCTATGTGTATTTAGCTAAAATATTGACGTAACTAGTTGGTATGACTGAAACTTTGAGATTAATATAATATTGGAACCAGGGCTTGTATTTGAAAAAAAAATTCCGTTTCATGTTATTTGCAATTAAAAGGTTACATCATTTTTGCGTTCATCGTTATTTAGAATTAAAAACTTATTCAACTTTTGCGTTTATCAGATTGCGTTATTAGATTGTTTGCATAAAATAAAATATGTTTCTACAAAACCAAAAGACCTTTTAAATAAACAGATTTTAATTTATTTTGTTTATTTTTCGTTCAATAATATTCTATAAATTACGTTTTGCGTTATGTTTTGTTAAATGATAAGTATATAATATATTTTGTTAATCGTTATGTTTTGTTTTGTGGTATTTAATTATTTTTGATTATCGCTTTTTGTTATAATTATGCTTACAAATTTCAATCGTTTTTTGTCAAATATAACATTATAATCCTAACGTTAGTATATCGTTTGCAAGCCCTGATTGAAACTCAAAGAATATCATTATATTATAGTGTTATTCATTTAAAGATGAAATATAGCAACGAAATAAACTATATACAACGGTGTCTGATTTCTCCAAACATAAAATAAAACTATTCGATAAGCAATATAGGCTACGACTATAGGTAAGTATACAAATATTAATGTGAATACAAATTTTAAATGTAATTAATAGAATGATAATGAATAATATATTCTCAAATTTATCTATTCACCACAAAGCGGTACTTATATACAATTATCTCAAACTCACTTATTGTAGAAAACATATTTTTATGTGTACCTACTAAAAATAAATAATAGGTACTTCTAACAAATAATAATTTGAATTACCCTGGAATAAGTACTAGATAAATAAAGTACTTCAAAACGAGTATGGGTTTTTTTCAAACTTGAACAAACAATAATGACTTTTATTATTAAACAATGAAATTACCAAACATTTTCCATCGACGCAAACGTCCAATTTTTCTTCATCACACGTTGTACCATCGATTACTTTATTTCTATGTCTGTAATAAAATCGTTCCCCTTTCGGCATACAATTCAGTTCACATTTATTCGGAGCTTTGGTGTAGGGAACCCACCTGTGTAAATAATTGATATTTTATAATGTACCTATGACAATACAAAGTTTTTTTTTGTTTTCACTTACTCGTATGTCAATCCTTCAAATGGTACTCGGTTAAATGCAGCGCATTGTTCCAGTCGGAAATCCAGACTTTTTCTGGGACATTCCTATAAAAATCAATGAATATTTCAAACGTGTTTGTGTTATAATGTTCATTATCACGATGCATTGGTTAAGAATAATTTTTGTTAAACTATAATAGCATTAATTTAAAACTAAGGTTCCTTACTCAATCGATTTTGTTAATATTAGTTACATGGATATAATGTGCATTCGATAAATCTGTTCAAGTGTGGCTTGACTGTATTCTTATAAAAAATATGAGATCCATACTACTGTATATTATACGAAACCAATTTAGTAGTTTTAAATTAATATAGCTATGGTTTATGAGGATAATTTTCGATTTTATATTAAAAACGATTTTCCACTTCTATATTTATAACAAGTGTACACTCACTTGAATATTACAGGAATAATATCTTTTCGATGATCCTGTACAATCTTCGGAACCGTCTTGTCTAAAACCAAAAATAAGTCTTAAGTAAGTAGTAGTAGGTATCTACCTAATACTATATTATGTAAGTATATTAGACATTCGTGAGTCAATTCGTTTCATGCGAAAAACTATTTAATGGACAGCGGATACCGTTTGTTGGTATTTGCCAAATAAAATAACAATACTATTTAAACAAAAATATTTTTGACTAACGCATTTTTAAGGACACTGTTCCTAAAATTATTTGATTTCATAGAAGTTCTCCTTGAAACTCTCGTGGAGTTTCTTAATAATTATAAGTTATTATAAATTAAAATTTGAGCACATTGCATTAATTTTTAATGATCAATAATCACGTCAAATAATCATATCATTATAGTTTCATTATCTTAAATAAACTTCATGATTTATGTGTTATTTAGTGTATCTATAGAAATATCTATATAAAAATTATTTATTTATTTTGCATGACAAAACCCCGGTAGGAAATTTGAAATTTTCGGTAGGTAAGTAGTACCTATGTTATTTTATTTAAATATATTGGTATGGGGCAATCAGTAATTAGCATGAATTATAATATAAACGAATAATATCTTAATGGCCGATATGAGGTGTGGTCTATCATCATAATATTATCGTTGTAAAAATTATATAATAATACCCGTTAGTTAATTGTTATGCTATTAGGAGGTATTTGCTACTCGGGTGAATGATCAACCATTTTTTTTTTTTAGCAATGTCTGGCTTGGGGAGGTAGTTATAGAAATCTTAACGAAAAAATGATCGGTGCTCAGGATAAAAGGGAATAAGTCAAAATCGCTGTATCTACCTAGGTAATTTTCAGGAAATAAAAATATGTCTCTTTTCTGTATTAGATAAAGCCATTATGTTTTTAATTTTTAATATTTTGTAGATGATATTTTATTTAAGATATGAATAAAAAATAAAATCTAACTGTTTACTAGATATAAACACATTAAGGAGCCTAGTGCCATTGTAATTTTGTATAGAAAAATACTCTCTACAGGAATAATGATCATGTTCTGTAGAATCAACTAAATTTATAATAAAGTTGGCCACTAAAATATAAAAATTTTATAGAATTGCTGAAAATTTGAAAAACTGGAACCGGGCCTTAACATAACGATTACACGTTTTATGTTATGTACAATAATAGAAAAAATTGCCAAATTGATTTATTTCCTTTTACCCATATACCAGCCAAATTATTTTTATAGAGCTATCTATATTTCGAATCACATATAATATGTAACAATAGAGTATATCTACATTTTAATAATTATTGGTACATAAATAATATGTATAGATTCTATATATACTTCCACACCTACTATGTAGGTACAATTATCTTTGTGGAATATGTAATATAGGTACCTAAGAGTTAATTCGACAAATTGTATATTATTATATATTTATTTTCATTGTTATTTAATTTCTTTATATATTTATGTGTTGTACAATCTTTAAAAGTATTTAAATTTGTTTAGGTTAATGGATCAATTTTGCTGCACATTTCGAAGTCAAACATTAACTGACATTAGTTTGCCTATAACTTTTAGTGGCACTAAAAGTTATAGGTACATATTGTTAATTAATGCGATTTTATAGACCCACTCTATAAAAATTTAAGTGTTTTATGTATTTCACTGTGCAGCGACATTCATCAAACATGGGTGACTACATAATTATACGTTCCCTGTATAATTATCAACTCTAAGGGCTGATGATACATTCAGTACAACCCTTTGGCAAAGCACAGAGTAGCCATAATTAATATATCAAAATTCATATGGGGTACCTATTAAAATTATTTTAGTTATAGGCATTATTTAGAAAATACTAAACTTCAAACGGTTATTATGCTTATAATAGGTAGGTACGTGTCATAATACCTGTATGTCAGACATCTCCTGGTTTGAAACGCGACTCCTCCACCACAGCTACGGGAACATTGACTATCGTCGGACCACGGACTCCATTCACCACTCTCCGAGGTACTGCCGTCCAGATAAACATGATATTCTGGTACGAATCCGGAGCTGCTAAATGTATTGTTCCATTGTTGTCTTTTGTGTCGACCATGTCGGAGGTGATGCTAAGAATTCAAACCATATATGATACAATTAATATTAGATAAATCTAATGGACATCGATAAACATCAATCAGTTGAAATCCACTATGTGTTAGATGTGAACACTAATAATATAATATATTATTTGAATTTTATGATCTGACATTTTAGCACAATATATGAATCATATTATGCACGTGAGTACGTTACATTGAATGTATTTACTTGTTTTGTACTTATTCGTGTAAATGGTATTGTATTTCTCAACTATCAGTAGCTTAATACAGATAAACATTTTTAATATTTAATTTGACTTGGCTCGAGGAAAAATAATGTACATTTTACGAAGATTTTGTAATCAGTATTTAAGTATAATAGTGAATAACACAGTTCAGTTAGATATTCAAATTCAAATTAATAATATTTAAATTGAAAAATAACACCCAATTATTGTAACAAATAAATTATTCTCATTATATACAGTTTAAGCCATAATAAACGGTATATATAGCTAACGTAACGTAGCTATTTTTTTTTTTTTTTAAATCAAATTACTAGCTGACACTGCAATGCGATGCTATTGCTAGTTTTTTGTGATTATGTGATCAGTATATTATCATTTTTATCAAGTAGGCAATCTACTTGCGGTAGGTAGCAGAAACCTCGTGGTACGTACGTAGGTGTATAATTTAACTCTCAAGTATCAAAAAATTCAAAAAATTGGTCTACCGAAACTTTGATACATTCTGTACTAACTACGTACTAACATACACAGCCACATAGGCTAATCAGTAATCACATTAATAATAATAATAATTATTATTAAAACCAATATCAACCATTTATAAACAAATAATAATAATAATAATGTCAAAATCCCTGTTTGAAAACTTCCCCGGGTTGGACATCTTATTTACCTTTTTCGCTGACAAAATGTAGCCTATCTTCTTCCCCGATGTCTAATCTATCTCTGTACCAAATTTCATCGCAGTAGGATGAACGGTTTGGGAATGCATAAAGAACAAATAGTCAGTCGCAAACATTTTTTGTCTTTTATATATTATATAGATAGATTAGATCTTAATACATTGTAGGTTGCTTGGCTCAGTTGTGACATGTATTTACAAATAAATATACATAAAAACTTATGCGCCTTTTATAATCCTATTTGAAATTCTATAAGTAAAGAAATAGTTAGTTTTTATTGATTTTCATTAGCATTTTAACATTAAGGGTACCTATGTAATTTTGAAATGTTCTATGGTCGTTTTATATCTTTCTATTATATTGTATCTGTTTAATTTTCCATTAAAATTTTTTATTTGCATGTCCCATGTGTAATGTGTTATGTCGTAAATATCCAATTTTTACTTTCGATTTCAGAAATATGCGTACTAATCAGTATTATAATTCTTAACTTAACCTTTAAGCGTTAAGTATTTAAGGTTGAAGTGATTATAATTTAATGAAGGGGAAAAATTCGAAAATATAGAAAGCTCATTGTTATCAATTCATAAGTATTTAGTTAATTATGCTGAAAATCGATGAACCCAGACCAATAAAAAAAATATTTAATTTAATTCACTCACCAATGTATTATAGGCACCTATATAGGCTATAACCTATTACCTACATATAATAGTTATAACTGTCTTATAACCTACATTATATTAGGTATATTATAATTTATAAATAATGGTGTTCACGACTACGTATTAAAATATGATCTTATTATTATATATATATATATTTTTTTTTACTCATCAAATCGGTCTTAATTGTATCACAACAAACCTGTTAATAATATCTAATAAAAATAAAGACTCGAGAAAAAAGGTGTAGGCACGGGTCGCAGGGTGACCGGACACGTATTGTAACGACTAGACATATATTATTATGAGATCGGGAGTTCGTTAAAGGTGATTAATGGAGTGTTAAAAATAACGCCACGACACCCTGTCACGGTTCGGGCGATTCTCACGATTTCCTAATCATCGTGGTCGTGAAAAGAAAAGAAAAGAAAAAATGGTGCAAAACGAAGGAAATAACATCGAAACGCTGATGATTACGTATCGATTACAAAATAAGAGAATATATTATTATTATAATAATGTAGAGGATAATAACATAAAATAATATAAATTATTTCCTACGCCGGGACACAGGTGTTGAGCTACGAAATCACGAGCCTCGACACTGTCTACACACAAGCGATGTGTGCATGATGTGTATTTTTTGTGGTACTGTGTAATATTCTCATATATATGTTATATTTCATACAATATATGGGTACATATTATTATTATTATTATTATACGTGCGCGTTATAAATATTAGATACTAATCTGGAAAGGACGACCGATTCGGATGTGCCGTGCACGTAACTCGTCTTTAATATTATACTGTGCACCGTTTGTCTCGAATTACGCAGGTATTTTGTTAAACACCACCGAAATACCGAGAAAGCGAGATACTCGATACGTTATCGCCTTAAATTATAATTATATTCAAGATTTTATATTAAAACCATTTATCATAGGACCCCGCGTGTTGTTGTGTTAAAACATACTATTCTCTAAAATCTTTAATCCGCCGAAAATCCTCACAGTCATAATAATATTAGTAACGATATTAGCCATTAATCGTAGAATGGTACGACGTTCGATGGTATTCTAAAACTGACAACGCACTTAGTTTACTGGATCGATTTCGATAGTTAATAAAAAAAAAATCTAAAATTGATTATTATTATTATTATTATACGATATACGTCACTGGTAACAGATGTATGGCTGCCTCGTATGGTTCTAATATATTTCTATAAATTTACTGACCTACGCCTAACCGGACAATCGGTTTACTGTGTTTGTAAGACGACATTTTTCATAAGACATGTTTGATTGGATTCGTTAATATTTTTACTTTTTGAATTAATTACTTTCTACCTATTATTAAATATTTTCAAAAAAGCATCTACCGAGATATGTGTAATAACTTTTTTTTTTTAATATACGTTATACGTATAGACCATAAAGGTAAATAAAACTGTTGCAACTATAATTTTTAAGTAATGGTCAACATTAACTACAATACATCGGGAGTCTTGTTTAAAATGTTAACAAGTGTACCTACATTATTACATAATAATACAAAAATATTATGATCTACACGGCAATAGTATTCAATCACAATACCGACCATGAAACAGATTAAATTGTCGGATTTTCTACGCACCAAGCCATAAAATAGCATTGTCACATGAACATTATATATTTTTATTATTATCATTTCCAAAAACACATTATTCATAGGGTTTTCATGTTGTCGAACCAAGGACACCCCTCGTGGAAGATCATTGTAATTTTCCTTTACTTGAGAGCGTTAAACTTTATAAGAAACTCAAATTCAATAATATCAGTACAACAACCTGTTAAAAAAGGTACTCTATGTCATGATTTATATAGAGCAAGTCGCAAGTGTAATTTATGTTAGTATCGATGAATTTATATTTGTATGAGCATATATTACATGCTACGTTATAGATGGATAATCTAAGTAAGACTTGTTAATAAGTATTAGGTTACCTAATTTAAATAGGGAAAAGTACTAATATTTTCAGTGTGTCATTGTATATTAATATTAAACTAAACTAAACAGTATTGCGTATATCGAATTATGTCTGTTAGTGAAAATAACTAACGTAATATTAAAAATATGAATAAACAGCTAGTCGATTTACTATTTGTATCATTTGAACTATACCTATTGTTTTATTTGTCACTTTAAAAAGATATTTTAATCAGATTACGTTTATACCTTGTCGAAGTTCAATTAATTGCATATAAAATATAATTGTTTGGGGTAAACATGTTTTATCCTATTTAATTATTTGTTTCTTTATAAGTTATAGTTACTATATCTATCACTATTTTAAAAGATATAATAGTACTTGAACCACCTACAACCTATTAATATAATATAAATTCATAAATTACGAACGTTTGAATCAAGAATTATTTACTCTATGAAAGGGTTACGATTAGTAGTAGGTACCTAAAATTACACTAACCAGCGAAATGAAAAAAAAGAAATCTATTTCTATTTATAAATATTTTGGCTGCAATTAAACAAATTATGAGTTTAAAAAAAATGTAAATGTTCCATTATTATTACATTACACTATAGTATGGAACCAATTACCAACTACGTATCTAATATCTAGACACTTATCAAAAATTGAGTCGTTAAATGTGTGGATTGTAGAATGATAAACATGTTTTGTAATAACTATAATACAGTTTGCTTAATATTACTCGTTGGTTTTTTACTGACGATAAATTACTAAGCTACACAACTTAAAACAAGTTTCTGACTACTAATTCAGTAAATAATCACGTGTAATCCCATATTAGATATGAAATATACAAATTAAAAAAATATATATAACTACATTATTCTAAATAATACATGACCAATTATGTTTCATGTCTAACTGCAGATAAGTAGCTAAATTTACTTTGTTGAAAAGTACAACACGCATAGGCAGTAAGCACGTTATACATCTAATGTGTAGTCACATGTTAGCACTCCCATAACTAAAATTATCCATTTATTTCGTTCAAAATATAAGTTATATGTCCAAAACTCAGCAATTATTAATGATATGAATATTATGGTGAAAATCATTATATTATTTATGTTATAATTCTATGAAATGTAGTATAATGTGTATAAGTTATACCTACTCATTATTTTTAATTTCTAAATGGTCCATCCAAAAATTAATAAGTGGTTTAAAAAATTTCTTTAACATTTTTCATGATTTTTTTTAAAACTATCGAAACATTCAATAGCATATAAATAATTTATATTTTAGTAATGTAGATGGACTACGAATGCTCCATGAACATTTTTGAGCTTGAAGGTTTGATTAGGTAGTTATAAAATAACAGTATTAATTACAACTATAAATATAATATGATAATAGTATATCGTTTGCAATTTTTGATATTACTGCACTATTTAGTATAAAAACGTAGTTGTTCAAATATTCATAGAAAAAAAAACTATGATATATAGAGTATGGTATATAAAATCTGTATTATACTATTATATATGTATAATTCTTTCTCATTTAAGAATTAAGAGTGAAGATCTTTTGGTAGTAAAAATAACAAGTTACGTATGCTTAAATTGTCTGTATTTGGTATTTTTTTACTGAATATAATTTAGTCTTGAAATAGATTCAGATAAATGAAATTCACACATTTTTAACTTAGACCAAAATTTCCTACAATATTATATGATTATATACACTTATACATTAACATTATCAAAAATGGTTAGGTTAAATATTCTATCTATTATCGCATATAGTGTTCGTTGCTTTACGTAAGTCACTAGTATCTATATCAATCTCAGATTTCATCGATTTGATGAAAATAATATTATAATCACGAACGGCTGTCGACTAAAGAATTTAAAATGTCCATCTATTGTTTGTCTGTTTCTTTTTCAAACTACCGTCTTTGCACCATCGGCACACATAACTATCCAGGTACGTAGCTTCACATAAATAACTGCAACAGGATACCTAATATATATATTATGTGCAGTGTATAATATAAATGTTATATAGTAGAAGTTTATTATTGTTTAACAGTGGAATTTTAAAATCCTATTTCTCGTAGGTATTTATAACAACGTCCGTGCAATTGGAACAACGGGCACGTATTTCCGACCAAATAAAAAAATAAAAGTCATAAAAATGTATATTTTTTTAATCTACACCAGTAGTTATGGTTTACTGTAGTAATTCTAATATAAAGAAACTTCATTGTGATCTCGTCGATTAAAATCAAAGTATAAATGTATAAATAAAAATAATAATCTATTATAATACGTATTATGTAGTAGACGTTAAATCTGTATGAAATCGTTTACCGAAATATTTTCAAACTAATACTTGAAAAGGAGTTAAACTAATACTCCTTTAATAGTTAGGTAAGCACCTAGGTATGTATTATCTAGAAAATCAATTAATGTGGTTGACTACTATGTATACCTACCAAAACTATTAGATATTTACGAACATTATATTCACATATATAGGTATAGATACAAAAACAAATAAAAACAACATCAAACAAAAAATATTTAGGTGCCTGCGTCTAGCCGGTCTAGGTATAGATAGGTGCAGGATTAATATTTAATTCAATAATGCTATTATAATGTGGGCAGGTTCCTACATTGTTGTTTGATTTATAACTCATACGGTAAACATAGCATTAAGTTGAAACTAACCACGAGATAAACACGGCATTAAGTTGAAACTAACCATGCGCATGATTAAGTTAAATGATATATCCATTATTGCTGCTACCACTAACATGGTAGGTATATAGGTACACATAATAATATGACTATATGAATATAATATTATGGAGAAGAGCGCTGTCCAGAAGATTTCCTGTTTAATCTAGACGGGGGTTTTTTTTTTTTTTTTGAATAATTATAATTTAATCCATAACAAAGCAAAGAGATATTTGTCATATTTTCGTGTCTATTGTGTCACATAACAAACTTGACTTTAAATCGCCATTAAGGCGTGTTGATAAATAGCTTTCAGTGACCATTATGTTTCCGTTTTGCTGGACAAAAAGATGGGTATGTGTGTATAAACTAAAAAGCCGCATACATGATTTATGACCATTACGAATCCGTGTTAGAAAAAAAAAAGTGGAATAATAATTTATTTGTATATTTGAAATACAATTATTTTAATCGCTTGCCGAACAGGTGACAAAAGGAATAAGGATAACATATTAAGATATAATTTTTTATTGCCTAGATTATTTTAGATTCTTGAATATTTTTGAATATTCTTCATAACGTTTAGTCCATGGATTATATTTTATTTAATAATGAACGTATAAGGGCTTAAGTTTAAATAAAATAATATCTATGGATTGTGTCGGTAAAATAACAAACAATAATATTATATTATAATATGCAGTTATATATTATGGTGAACATTGAACAAAATATAAAACGAGACACAGTTCTTTTTTGGTTTTAAAATATATTGAGAAGTACATTTATATTTGTACTTGGTAATTTATTATTGTTCGTAGATGAATATACTTAAAAATAATATCATTACCCTATCATACACCTTACACTAGATTTAAAAAAAAAATTAACAGATGCAAGACCCGTATACAATACATTGATGTTTAAGAATTGTAGAGTAATAGTAGTTAAGCTACGTAAAATATTGAAACAACTCAAAACTAAATAAAATAACATGACGAATGTAAATCAAGTCTGACGATGGATAATAATGCCCCTAACGAGTTCTGTAAAACAAATATAGAATATCAAGTGAAGTGGTAAAATATAATATCTAAATTATGGGTCGATGACTTTAATGCTTAATATGAGTTCAAGAATCGCTCAATTTTTTTATTAGGTACTCTGTTTTCATATAGTTTTCATTTACTGACATAAGGTACTTAAGTTAGAAAACTGGTCTTAAGTACCCACCAGATTTATTAGCGCGTACACTAACATTCGATTAACGTAGTTGGAATTATTAAACTGTGTTAAAAATATGTAATATTATATATTATTAGGTATATTAAAATAGTATTCGTAGCATAATAATTATGGTGTAACGAATTAAAGAGACTTTAATCCCATCACATAACTTTTATTCAACAAATTCTAAATTGACACTTAATAATTATATTATTTTATATCGTATAATTACGAATATACATAATATTAAAATATTATATTTCAGTTGAATATCAGTGCACTAAGCCCTTTGTTATGAGGGAGCAACATTAAACTATTATTATGCCATAATTAACTGCAGAACACACAAAAAAAAATTTAAAAAAAAAAAGCAACATGGCACTAACTAACATCTTACTAACATATATTTTACATAATCATCAGTCATCCGGGAATATGGTAATATATCATAATATCTCGTATTCGTTGACAAGTCCTTTCGTACGTTTCCATCGGCGTTTGGCCTCACTAATGAAAATTCGGCGGATAACTTTCATAATATACACGTGTGTGTGTGTGTGTGTGTGTGTGAGTGTGTGTGCACAAGACCGGACGAATGCCGTTGCAGAGTGTGTTGCACATTTTAATAAACGCGCCAGGCACCCGATTAGCGGCGAAGCTGTTTGATGTTCGCATTGCACACAATATAATAATATAATATATATATATATATATTATATACAGTTGTACAATATTACACACACACACACACACACACACACCGCACGCACATGGCTAGCACGTGTATGGTTTTGATGAATGGGGGGTTGGCGATGGACAACAAGTGTAACGTTTACGTACAATACATCCCATGAAAAAAAATCATATTGTGCAGCGTGTGCATTAAAACTACACGCAGTAGGTAGGTACATTATAATATTATACGACTATATAATAATAATAACAGTTTTTTTACGATACAGGTGCCTAACATAATATTATAAAATGTATTTTTATAACGATATAAAGCTTACCTGTTTGGTCAACGATACCGAGATGTTAAATGATATAATTAGTATCAATAATGCCAGGTACCTGAAAACAATAAAAACAAATTTTAATAACAATAATATTATGAATATGTTTTTTTTTTATTTCATGCATGTACCTATAGTTGAATTTTATTTTTGTGCCCAAACATTTCACAATTTATAACGATTGCCATGATTATCGAATCATAATCGAAAATAATTGTATTATTTTTTAAAACGTGTTCACGTGATTTAAATTGAAAACCAATATCGATACCTATGGGCTATAATATCAATTTACATACGATACGATACTCGTCCCAGTCGTCCATATAATCATTTAGATGTTACTATAACATTAATTATATTTTTCGTGTCGAGTTGAAAAAATGAAGCGGCAGCAATTATATTATATATCAGAACCCGTCTCACTGTGTGGTAAACCTCACACGTCGACATTACAAAAAAAGTTAAAATATAATAATTGATAGGCCTTTCTGTTCCCTCAGATTTTTAATAAAACACGTACTTGCAATGACAAAATATGTAAGAGATTTATTTTATCTCATTGTTTAAATTAAAAAAAAAAAAACAAAAATCAATCGTCAGTCGCAAACAATTTCGAATCTCAATTAACAGTCTTGGCTAGCCATAAAAATTCTCATATTTTTTATAATATTGCTATTTAATCATTTTGTGTTATTATAAAAAAATATGTGGATACAATTGATTTTTTTAACAGTATAATTTATTTTTAACAATAATTTATTGTTCAGAATAGTATAATATCTTGTATTGATATTTCATATTATGCACATTATGGCAAGATAAACAAAAACATATTATGATTTACTATCATCATATAAAACTGCACATGGACAGTAAATATTATTAGATATAATATGCGTTAATATTCCAATTTAGTTTATGTTCCATTACTAAATTTCAAATATTCATCAATTATTTTCTCTAACAACATCATATCACACCATTTATAATTTGTACAACGTCGATCAGCATATTGTGAACAATTTGATTTAAGATTCATTACATTATATAACTTTAACGAGGCTTCCACTTTCTTTAAAACGATTGTCAACAAATATATTAGTTGGAAATTATTCAAACATTTTTTATAAATTATAGTGCAATAGTGTATAATGTATTAATTTATGTCCTAACCTGACGATAGAATACAGTTATAAATTATGTTTACAATTTATCAATAAATCGTTATTACATAATTATAACTTTATAGTTATTAATATTATGACTATTGTGAATTATGACACAAGCACCTCCGAATGGTAAGGACAAAGTACGCCATCAAAAATATTTAGTTATATTTATATTTTGAATTTTCCTATATATTTTCCAAGTTTTTTTTAATGATCTTTCATATTTAGGTAGGTATAAGTTAACAAAGAATACATATGGATTTTATAAATTCACTGAAATACTGAATTAGCACGCTGCACGTTTTTCAAACATCCTGGTTTTCCGAAAATTCTAATTAGTTATTTAATTTTTAACAAAAAAAAACGGATATGTTTAAATTTAAAACTGTTATGGAAGAATATTTTTAAACGTTAAAAAAACTTTCTTGATTTATCTATAAATACAATTTATTATAGAGTATCCGGATGAAACCGGATGAAAAAGCATAACGATTCTACAATTAAAAACAGATGTGGAATTTGGTATATAAGTAGAAGCATATTTTTTTTTATTGTTTTGTATTGTTATATTATAATAATTGTTCTCTGCATAAATACATATTACCTAATGGTCATATTCATATTTTGTGATTATACAACAACACGCATATTATGTAGGTATACAAATACCAGATTTTCAATAAATTAATATATAATTGTTATAAACTAATAATTATTATTAAGAAGTGTCGATATTTAATTTGGTCTAAGACATTATCAAACAGCTGAACTGTTAACAACTCAGTATAAATGAATTCCAAACTGGTACCGCTTGTCAACAAAGGAGTATTTTAGTATTAATAACAAAATGAAGTATGCATGAAGTGAGAGCAACGGTATTCAAAAAAAAAAAATTGTATTTATTATATTTGTTTTAAAAACAACATATTAATTTTTTTATTCATTGGTACCCAATATAAAATATATATAATAATCTTATTATAAATAAAACATTTTAATGTATACTAGCCACTAGGTATTCAGCTATTATTATACCAGTATTTTAATAAACATACATTTATCATTTATTTTAATACAATAGTATAGGTAGTATTTAATTTTCTTTTTTATTTAATAATATTTAAATATACACAATAGTAAACGTTGTTCTGAAAATTGCAAATAAATATAAAATATTATATCATACTTTAAGGTTATCATAACGTTTCAATTACATAATAATACGATTAATGAATAAAAAACATTAAGAAATTCATTCCGTTTAAATACTTATGATTTTTGTAAATAAAAGTTTCCACGAAATTCACAACACGATGATTTTTTTTACAATCTTTCAGAGACGCTTAGAATCTCTGTAGAGGTGTAAAATAACGTAGTTAGATACGCGTTGACAGATGAGCAGACAAATAAATCTTAATGTAATCGGAATGAGTGTATAAAAAATAGCTAACCAAAAAATAAAAGAGAAAAAAATTAGGTAGTAGGAGAACAGTTTTAACGATTTAATCGAATATCAAGGGACACGCATTCCTCCGACCGATTATTGTGGACCGGTAGACGTAAAGAAGGCATCAAAAGTAACCGACAACGTTGACCGAAAGGGGGCAGGATAATGGAAAACAATGATACCGCGTATAACACTGTAGGTACCTATATATTATTATCCCTTTTCCAGACAAATTACTATGGGTTATAATATAATTGTTACAAAGAAAAAACAGCGTTACCTATACTATGTAATTATACGATATGTCCTAACACTTGTATGAAATTGGAAATATGAAAATAGGTTCACAATATTACCATGAAACAATTAAAATTATAAGATGACTTTTAATTTAAACATACAAAACAATTTAAACCTCAACGCAGTTTCCGATACAGGAATATTTATTATCATTAAACTTTTAATTTATACATTTATATCTTTTTAAATTTGTATTCAAGATTGGAAGTTTAATCATATTATCACATTAATTATCTATTGATCAACGACCGTTTATAATTTTATATCTTAAAATATTTTTGCACCGCAGATAATAATAATAAGCGTAAATGTACACACAGACAGAAATTAATCCATTTAAATTGTTGTGAGATTTATAGTGGAGATTATGGTTTGTTGTCTTACAATTTGTTTTCCGTATTTGTACGGCTATAAACACGAGATGGATATTATACATTGTGATAAACGATTTTTATGACGACCGTCGTTATTGGACACGTCTCGTCATTCACAACTACTTTATTTGGAGAAAAAATTTATTATCTCGACGTGTCCCTAGTTCATGTTTTCGATTACCGGCGGGAGACCGTTTTCGATATATCGTACCTTCAGATGAGCAATTCCAGCGTACGCGCTGCAAGACGAAGAGCGGTCGATTAATAATAATCATTGCCCTTCGTCTACAACATGTTTACATTTCCAATTCGGTTAAAATGTTATTTACAACTCGGACGTTTTTATTGTAACCCGATGGTATAAGTGTATTATAACGCCGCGGAATGCAAGATAAAGAAGTAGAGATACAGGGGTTCTATAATCACATTATATTAAATTGAATGGTTTTTATTTTATTTTAACGAGGTACGACGACCCGCTGTTTCCATTATCTCACCTTTAAATTAGTGTTTTTTACTTGTTACACGCATACGCGAATAACCATAATAATATTATAAATAAATATTCCAAAACACCTGAAATATAAACACTGGGTTGATACGCGCTTGGGGAGCTCGGACACGTAACAATAACAATAACGATCGGACAGGCCCTAGCTGTTTTGTCTTTCCCGATGAACACCGGTGATAAGACCGTGGCCTGATGAATTGTGAAAGTCATTGACGGAGAAGAGCTTAAAGTGACCGTCCGCTTGGTGTTTTGTGTGTTGTGTGCTAGGTAGATATAGGTAGATATACGATGGCGGGGACCACCCGCGCGCAGGAGACTTGAACGCGACTTCGGATGTAATAATAACTCAGACAATAATATTTCTGTGCTGGTTCTTCAGTCTTCACGTTATTAATCGTCCTGTGGTTACCACTACCACTGCCACCGCCATCATCAACACCACGCCGTCACCACTGTATAATACTATTATCTGGTATATTTATGTAGAAGTCTGTCAGTTTACTGCATATCAAAATATCATAATGTAGTTATACACAACAGCTTTACACCACACCAAAAGGATAAATATTATATTACTGTACCTATGTGTAAATGCGTTACATATATTATAATAATATCTTGCATGACTCAATTTATTATATAAGATTGTAACTGATTTGTGAATGGATGTAAGTTAGAGGGGCTCTACACACAGTTCGTAATAACTAATAAATCATTTTTCAAACCTATGTACAAGTATTTGAAGCATATTAAACTGAGAAAATCAATTAAAATTAAACAAATAAAACTGATTGGGTTAGTATTGTATGGTAAACACTTTAAAATATTTATATTAATGAATATTATAGAATAAATATGTAGGTATGACTATTTTTTTTAATCATCATAGGTACTTTATACATTTAATTCATTAATTTATATTTTTTTGTGAAAGATAATATACATATATTTTTCTTATACAAGAACTATTTAATTAATCAATTCATAATTTCATTTGTGTATACAATTATTATAAGTTATAATACCTATGAAAATAATAAGAATAAGAATAATACCGAATTGATTTTATAATACGTAATTGATTAGTAAAATAAAAAATACAATAACATTAACTTAAACCGTATACTTTTGTTAAAAGGAAATTAAGGTCATAAAATAGGTAAGTAAATTGGTTTTAGTAAAAAAAAGAACAGACAGTTGGTAAAATATCTAATATGATAACATATTTCAATGACAGATATTATAACACTAAAC